CCTGATGGAAGAGCCTAACAGCCTATGAAATAGTTTTGTCTTTTTTCTGCACCCTCCCAGGAAAATAGAACCTGAACCTGGCCTAGGCTTCAGAACTGCCTAACAAATTCAGAACAGAGGAACACATTAAGTGACACTGGGCCAGGTGAGTTGGCTCAGGCCTGTAATCCTAGTGCTTTGAGAGGCCAAGGTGGTAGGATTACTTGAGGCCAGGAGTTTGAAATCAGCCTGGCCAACATAGCAAGACCCCCATCTCTATAAAAAATAAAATAGATAATACTCTAGAATTGGAATCAGCAAAATACAGAAAGTGGGAAAGTATAGTATGATAAATGAGTTTTTCAATAAATACATTGCGTCGGGCGTGGTGGCTCATGCTTGTAATCCCAGCACTTTGGGAGGCTGAAGCGGGCGGGTCACGAGGTCAGAGGTTCAAGACCAGCCTGACCAACATGGTGAAACCCCATCTCTACTTAAAAATACAAAAATTAGCTGGATGTGTTGCACCTGTAATCCCAGCTACTTAGGAGGCTGAGGCAGGGGAATTGTTTGAACCTGGCAGGCGGAGGTTGTGGTGAGCCGAGAGCATACCACTGTACTCCAGCCTGGGCAAGAGAGCAAGACTCCGTCTCAAAAAATACATACATACATACATACATACATACATACATACATACATTGCAGGAGGAAAAATAGGAGATGGATTTGTTCCCAATTTAAAAAAGAAAAAGAATTGGAAATTTAAGCACATGGACATTTGAAGATTTTGGATGATTACTTTTAGATGTGATAATAGTATTGTAGTCTTTCTTTGGCATTCTTTTGGCATTTTTATCTTTTAGTTTGTCATCTATATGTTTGCTAAAATAGTTATGGATAAAATGAAATGATGTCTTGGATCTGCTTCAACGTAGCACAGGAAAGGGCCATGGCCGAGGGTGTGGATGAAGCAGGATTTGCTGTGACTTGACAGTTGTTAAAACTGGTCTTAGGTACATATGGGTCCATGTTATTCTATCTACTATTGTATATGTTGGATATTTTTCACAATAATAAAAAAAGATTAAAGTCAATATGTATTACAACCTAAGTGAGAACGATGGCATGCTGAACACATTTTTTAGCCTTGCCTTCCCCTCGAGGCCTCACTGACATGACAGTAAAGAAATATGCAAGAGACTAAACCCACAATGGAGGGAGAACTAGAGTGGGTTCCTCAGTGGACCAGCGTTAATAGCATCTGGAAGATGAAGTACCAGGAACACTGAGGATAAAAAAGAGCACAAGAAGGCTGGGCACAGTGACTCACACCTGTAATCCTAACCCTTTGGGAGGCCAAGGTGGGCAGATCGCCTAAGACCAGGAGTTCGAGGCTCCAGTGAGCTGTGATCCCGTCACTGCATTCCAGCCTAGGCAACAGAGTGAGACCTGTCACACACACACACACAGAAGCAATCTAGAATGTCCAAAAGCAGAAGCAGATTCAGGCTTTGTAAGACCTAAAGTTATGCAATTTTTAAAACAGCTTTATTGAGATGTGATTAATGTACAAAATCTGCACATATTTAAAGTAATAATTTGATGAGATTTACATTTGTAGACAGCACAAGACCATCAGGATGATGAACATGCCCATTATCTCCAAAAGGGTCCTTATCTGGCTGCTTTCACCCAGTGTCATTACTTTGGGATTCATCGATGATGCATGTATCGGTAGCTGGTTCCTCTCTATGCCTGAGTAGCATCCATTGTATGGATGTACCACAGTTTATTTGCTGTTCACCTGTTGGACGTTTGGGATGTTTTCAGTTCTTGCCGCTGGCAAATTGAGCTGCTATGAAAGTTCACATTCATGTGCCAGTGTTTGCATCTCCATGTTCTTTCACTTCTTTCAGGTAAATACCATGGAGTGCAGTGGCTGGGTCATATGGTACGGGTGGGCTTAGCTTTTTAAGGAACTGCCATCGTGTTCTCCAGAGTGCTCACACGTGCCACATTCCCACCAGCAGCAAGTACCAGTGGCTGCACACCCACTCCAACTGTGATTTGGCCGGGCTTCTTAATGTTAGCCATTCTGCTGGGTGTGTGCTACCATCTCGTGATTTTAACTTGCATTTCCTTATCAGGACATCCTTTCACAAACCCACAGACCCTGCTTACCGTTTGTATCTCTTCCTTAGTGAAGTACCAGCTCAAATCTTTTGCCTAGTTCTTAACAGGGTTGTCTTATTTAGTTCCGAGTTCTTTGTTTATTCTGGATACAAGTCCTTTTGTCAGAAATTTGTTTGCAAATATTCACTCCCAGTCTATGGTTTGCCTTTTCATAACGATATCTTTGGAAGACCATAGTTTTCTATTTTTACAAAGTCCAGTTTATTGATTTTGTTAATAGTTCATGCTGACCAGGCGCAGTGGCTCACTCCTGTAGTCCCAGCACTTTGGAAGGCCAAAGCAGGTGGATCACGAGATCAGGAGTTCGAGACCAGCCTGGCCAACATGGTGAAACCCCTTCTCTACTAAAAATACAAAAATTAGCAGAGTATGGTGGCGGGCACCTATAATCCCAGCTACTCAGGAGGCTGAGACAGGAGAATTGCTTGAACTAGGGAGGCAGAGGTTGCAGTGAGCTGAGATCGTGCCACTGCACTCTTGCCTGGGAGACAGAGCAAAAAAAAAAAAAAATAGTTCATGCTTCTTGTGTCCTAGTGTATTCGTTTTCTGTCACTGCTGTAACAAATTACCACAGACTTGATGGCTTAAAACAACAAATGTATTCTCTCTCAGTTCTTGAGGCCCAAAGTTCAACGTCAGTTTCACTGGGCAGAAAAGGTGCCCACAGCACTGCACTCCCTCCGGGGGCTCCAGGGAAAATGTTTTTGAGACAGGGCTTTGCTCTGTCACCCAGTCTGGAGCACAGTGGTGCAATCACAGCTGGCTCACTGTAGCCTCGATCTCCCAGGCTCAAGCAATCCTCCCACCTCAGCCTCCCAAGTAGCTGGGAATACAAGTGCGTGTCACCCCACCCAGCTAAATTTTGTATTTTTTATAGAGATGGGATTTCCCCATGTTGCCCAGACTAGTCTTGAACTCCTGGGCACAAATGATCTGCTAATCTGGGCCTCCCAAAGTTCTGGTACTACAGGCGTGAGCCAAACCTGGCACCAGCATGGCAGGGGCAGTGTTTGTGCTTCATGCTCCCAACTCGATGGCCGTGGTTATCTGCAGGACTGGCTGATTCTGCTGTCCTGGCCATGTGGTTGCTCTTTGCTCCTGCCCAGTTCTCAAGTCTGGACCCTCCCAGCCACCTATGAGCCCTCCAACGCTGTCAGCAAAGGTCTTTTCCAATTTAATCAGCCAGGGCTGGTCTCTATTACGTGCAACTCAGAAACTTTCCTGATAGAGGGTGTTTGCCAAAAGCCCATTGTGAGCACCATGCTTGGCTGTGAAATATGAGTGGCATTTCCATGTCTGGGCAACAAGCGAGTGTGCTGTCATCAGCACCGCCTGCTTCTCAGCTTTGTTCTGGGGGGCTTGGGCCATGCCCTAAGACAGGATGGAGAAATGAAGCTTTAAAAATACCAAAAACATACACTGTCTCCATTGCCCACTATCATCCTCTCCGCATGTAAGCTCCATGAGGGTACGGATCCTTGTCTTTTAGGGTTATTGATGTACATTGAGCACCTAGAACCATGCCTGGTATATAGTAAGTATTCTGTTAACATTTGCTGAATATAAATTCACAAAGAATAATAAAATTATTCACCTAAAAAATCAACTGGAAAACTATTTGAACAAATAAGAATGCAATAAAGTGTGTATTAAGAGGTAAGCGTATATAAATCCATGACTTTTTTTTTTTTTTTTTTTTTTTTTTTTGAGACGGAGTTTCGCTCTTGTTACCCAGGCTGGAGTGCAATGGCGCGATCTCGGCTCACCGCAACCTCCGCCTCCTGGGTTCAGGCAATTCTCCTGCCTCAGCCTCCTGAGTAGCTGGGATTACAGGCATGCACCACCATGCCCAGCTAATTTTTGTATTTTTAGTAGAGGCGAGGTTTCACCTTGTTGACCAGGATGGTCTCGATCTCTTGACCTCGTGATCCACCCGCCTCGGCCTCCCAAAGTGCTGGGATTACAGGCTTGAGCCACCGTATGACTTTCTTATATACTGGTGATGACCAGTTTGGAGATGAACAACACCTGATTTGTAAGAGCAACAACAACAAAATCTAGGAAGAAATATAAGAAGAAATGTTCAAGCAAAGGCTCATGCCTGTCATCCAGTTACTCACGAGGCTGAAGAGGGAGGAGCTCTTGAGCCCAGGAGTTTGAGACCAGCCTGGACAACATAAAGAGACCTCAGTTTTTTTTTTTATTTCAAAAAAAGATTTGGGAGGCTGAGGTGGGAAGATCCCTTGAGCCCAGGAGTTTGAGACCAACCTAGGCAACATGGCAAAAACCCATCTATACAAAAAATTAGGTGCACCTGGTGGCAGTTGCCTGTGGTCCCAGCTACCTGGAAGCTGAGGTCAGAGGATCACCTGAGCCGGGGAGGTCAAGGCTGCAGTGAGCCAAGATCGTACCACTGCACTCCAGCCTGGGCAACGGAGTAAAAGAGAGAGACCCCTGTCTCAAAAACAGAAAGAAATGTTCAAGACTCAAGATACATACAAAGAAAATCATAAAACTTTATGTTAAAATATAACAGACACTATTCAGGGCCCCCAAGCCCTACCCAGGACAGTGCCCAAGCCAGCCACATCTTCTTTAAAAAAAAAGAAAAAGAGGACATTATTAAGAATGTAAGACATAGCATGTTCTTAAAGGACAAAACTGATCTTAACGGTGATCATAGGGACAGCCCAGCTTCTCCCTAGCCTTATCTGGGCCCCACAATGTCCTGAGCACTTGACATTGAACGACCCCCTTTAACACTGTCCAGGACTCATGCAGGCAGGAATTATACTGTTTTTTTTTTTTTTTTTTTTTTTTTTTTTTTTTTTTTTTTTTTTACAGAGTGGAATATCCGTTTTATTGAAATAAAATGGATTTCCATAGATTCACTCCGTGACTCAATTGAGAAGATATCTACCACCCACACAATAGGCAAAAGATTAGTGATGGAATATGCAAATGGATGTAAAAATCATGGTAAAGGTACAAACAACACAATCTCTTTTGTTCGTTTTTGAGACAGAGTCTCACTTCGTTGCCAGGCTGGAATGCAGTGGTACGATCTCAGCTCACTGTAGCCTTGGTCTCCTGGCCTCAGGCAGCCCTCCCACCTCAGCTACCTGAGTGTTGGGGCTACAGGTGCACACCATCATGCCCAACTAATTTTTTTTTTGTATAGACAGGATCTCACCATGTTGCCCAGGCTGGTCTCAAACTCCTGAGCTCAAGTGATCCACCCGCCTCGGCCTCCCGAAGTGCTGGAATTACAGGCGTGGGCCACTGTACCTGGCCCAAACAATACAATCTCATAAGTGGAAAAACAGCTGGCATCTCATGAAAACAGAGACATGGCCAATGAACTGAAAAGATGCTCAGCCTTAGCAGTCCCAGGGATGTCATGCTAAAGCAGTGAAGCCCTTCCTCCTCTCCAGCTGCGCTCACTGCTGGGAACTGGTGGCTCAGGGGTCTCTGTCCTGCCTGCTCACCCTTCACATCCCCTTGCTGCCTGTTGATCCTTATGCCTTGGTCCAGCTCCATCTGCTCATTCCCTAAAGTGTCCCTTTCCTTGTGTGGCTCCCAACTGGCCAAGCCCAGCTGGGCACCCGGCCTGCACACAAGCTGCTGGGAGTGGAAAGAGAGGAGATACAGACATTCGGACTGGTTTCATTTTAAATTCATCGCCACCAGCTTAAGCAGACGCTTGTTGACTACTACATTTACCCAGCCTGGTACCACCGAAACACATCCTTGTGTCCTGCCACACAGAGAGCGCAGAGCTGGGATCACACTGCCTGCCCCTTCTAAGTGAAAGGTTGCTGGCCAGGCGAAGTGGCTTGTGCCTTAATCCCAGCACTTTGGGAGGCCAAAGCAGGCGAATCACAAGGTCAGGAGATCGAGACTATCCTGGCTAACATGGTGAAACTCCATCTCTGCTAAAAATACAAACAATTACCCGGGCGTGGTGGCACATACTTGTAATCCCAGCTACTCAGGAGGCTGAGGCAGGAGAATCGCTTGAACCCAGGAGGCGGAGGTTGCAGTGAGCTGAGGTTGAGCTACTGCACTCCAGTCTGGGCGACAGAGCGAGACTCCATCTCAAAAAAAAAAGAAAAAGAAAAAGAAAGGTCACTGAGCACGGGAAGCTGTGCCTTTGCAGGCAGGTCAAGGGCCTGGCTTTTGGGACCCAGAGGGGCCTCGTGTGAAGGGGAGTGACGATGGGCTTGTCTAGAATCTGCCTGAAGCGGGGACCTGGAAGAGTGAAACTGAAGGAGGCTGAAGTATTCCCCCAAAGGCAGGCAGACTCCAGACCCTGAAAAAGTGGCCCAAGAGGGCGGGTCAGCTTTGGTCACCTGGGAGGCCAAGCAGCATGTAGGGAGCAAAGACCTCTGGTCCTCGCCACTGGCTCTTGGGCTGTCCCCAGAGGATGAGGAGCTGCAGCTGGAGTGGAAGTGGGCAGAGCCCAGGCTGGAGCAGGAGGCATTTCACCTCAGAGTAAAGTTGGGAGTTTTGGTAGTTACACTGGCTGGGACACAGTGATTACTTCGCTGAGACCAAATCGAAATGGGCTTGAAAATGGGGCAAGATTTTACCCTGGCAGGGAGGAGAGGACACTGGGGGAAGGAACGATACAAGTGTTTTCTCTTATATTAATAATTCTCAAAGCTGCAAAAGTGGGTGGGGGGTTATTCAAACAAATGTAACTCTTCTGTTACCTTCACACATCAGTGACACCAAATGCACAGACGGGACCATCAGGGGCTGGCGCCAGAGGGATTATTCCTCCACCTCTGCAGCACCTGCCTGTGTGCTTGCAAAGGGTTCTGTCTCCCTCCCTCTTCCAGGAAAACACTTTTCTGTGATTTCACAATGATATTTGTACTATGCCGGGGCTATTTTTAGGAGCTGGTGTGATGAAATACTCAGCACTGTACACAGTGTGCACACACGTACGTCCCGCCTGTCTACTTGTTCAGCATGCCCGGCTGGTGAGAGAACAGGGGCCTTTGGAAAGCAGAGGGTGATCTTTGATAAGACGCTGGACCGCTGGCCCGAAAGCGCTGAAAACAGGAAGTGGCCACGAGACTCAAGTCACATTCCTGCCAGAGGCTGGACGCAAGCCCTCAGGCCGGGGATCCCGGGAACGCTGGACTGGTGGTGTTTATTTGTCCTTGGGTACGTGAAGCAATAGCTCCGTTGCTCCTCCGTGAGGAGATTGCAGAATGTTCTGGCTAGAATAACCAGTCAAGATGGTGTCAGAAGACGAAAGTACAGCAGATCTAGTTTAGAGGCCTTCATTGGCTTGTGTTTGTTCTTCTAGAATGAGCAACACCTCATTCTATAACATAGAGAAAAGGGTCAAGGAAGCAGAAACCAGAACACAGAGCTGATTGGTCTCTTCAACGTTAAAGGTTTAAGCAGAAGGCCTCCTTACTGTGCTGACTAAAACCGGCCTGGCTGGGAATTTGGCTGCTATCTCTTCCTCTCTCCTGATTTCTGAGAAGCTCAGATAAACAGTTTCCACTTGGTGGTGGAACTCAGCACAAACAACCCTGTTTTGGTTTCGTCTGTTGGGCCTAGGGCAGGCGCTCTGTCCCAAGCCAGTGGTCTGCTGGCATTTCACTTCCCAGTGACACGGCACCAACATGCCTAACAAACGCTCGTCTGTCCTGTCAACCCTGTGTGTCTCGTTTTTTTATTTTTATTTTTTAGAGACAGGGTCTTGCTCTGTCTCCCAGGCTGGAGTGCAGTGGTACAATCATAGCTCACTTCAGCGCTGACCTCCTGGGCTCAAGGGATCCCCCTTCTCAGCTTCCCGAGGAGCTGAGAGTGCAGGCATGTATTACCACGCCTGGCTAATTTTTAACTTTTTGTAGAAACAAGTTTTCACTGTAGTGCCCAAGCTGGTCTCAAACTCCTGGCCTCAGGTGATCCTCCCACCTTGGCCTCCAGAGTGTTGAGATTACAGGCATGAGCTGCTGCACCTAGCTCTGTCTCTTTCAAACACAAGTCCACAGTTTTGCTGACTCCTGGTGGCGATGGGGAAAGGCCAGCAGGGGGTAGAGAGGAGGACACAGGCTTTTGTCACTGTGAGACGAGGCAGTGGGAGAGTCTGCAGATACCAGGGGACCAGAAAGCAGGGGACAGCTAGGGCTGGGGTCTGGGCTCCACTACTAAGGACTTGTGTCACTTGGAGAAGCGACTCACCTCTCTGGAGGTCCCCATCTTTAAAATGAGGGCACCATGGTGATTCCGTGAGTTCACGAGGGCACTGCATTTAGTGCCTGGCAAATTACAGTGCTTGGCGGGCGATGCCTGTGTCCGACACTCCTCCCCTGTGTTGTGACCTCCTAAGAGGCAGTGAGGGGAGGTGTGGTGTCCTTATCTAATGCAGGACGGGAGGGGACTGAGGCTCAGAGAGCCCATGGCCGCAGGAGCTGGGACTTGAAAACAGGCCCTCATCGCTCTTAGCACTGGCCTCATCTCGCTTCCTATCACCAAAAAAAAAAAAAAATCAGTGATCAGCTGGAGGGGCCCATCGGGGCTGGGAGGGTGGGAAGAGTGGTCCCTCCAAGGGGACCCAGAAAATGCCAGTGTGGCAGTCCTGGGGCCCCTGGCTGGGCAAGTGGAGGCAGAGGCTGTAGCCAGAGGACAGACCACTGGCCGGAGCCTGAGCCGGCAGGACTAAACCTCAGCCCCCTCAAGAGCCCCAGCAAAAGCCCAGCCCGGCACAACTGCTTTGTCCCTTGGTGGAGGCCCCCAGGCTGCAACTGGAATGGCAGAGCTCTCGCTCGAAGCTCTGAGACACTGTCTCCAAGAGTGCTGCCCTTCTTAGCCAGGCCCTGTCCCTGGGTCAAAGGAGAATGGCGGGGCTCTCTGGGGGTATGATGGAGGGGATCCAGGTCAGGCTTTGCAGGGGAGGCCCGATGACCAGTTACCAGGTCTAAGCTCTGTTTTTTTTGTCTTGCCCAGATTCCTGTCTAAGGAGTCTGAGGAGTCATGCCCTACAGCCCATAAATTCTCATCAGATGGGTTTTATTTAACCTTATATATTGTGACTTTCCAAGCTGACTCTGGCGTAACATTACGAGACAAAGAAGAAAATGAAAATATTTTACCCCAAAACACGATTCTCTGCCATATGTTGAAATGGCCCTGCAAAGCTGTCCTTTGTGGGGGAAAATCTGCATCTGTAAAGAATCTCTAGTAACATAGCTAGATTTTTTTTCTTCCAGGCCCTCCCAATCCTGAAGCGATTAACTAAAAGTCTAGCACCTTTTAAACATCTGAACAGGAAACATCTGTCATCTGTTGTCTCTAAGGGCCGCCACTGTAAAACTCCAAAAGAACCTTGGTCTCCACAGTCTTTTATCTTAACCTGAATATTTCCTATTGATCCCAGGTCTTCAGACAAACTCAACCAATTGTCGACCAGAAAACGTTTACATTTACCTATAGCTTGGAAGCCCCACCTGGAGTAGGCCCGCCTCTCTGGACCAAACCAGTGTATTTCTTAAATGTATTTGATTGATGTCTTATGCCTCCCTAAAATGTATAAAACCAAGCTGCACCCCGGCCACCTTGACAACATGCCCAGGCTGGACTGCAGCAGCACGATCTAGGCTCACTGCAACCTCCACCTCCTGGGTTCATGTGATTCTCTTGCCTCAGCCTCCTGAGTAGCTGGGATTATAGGTGTGTGCCACCACACCCAGCTAATTTTATGTATTTTTAGTAGAGCTGGGGTTTCATCATGTTGGCCAGGCTGGTCTCGAACTCCTGACCTCAGGTGATCCACCTGCCTGGGCCTCCCACAGTGCTGGGATTACAGGAGTGAGCCTTGGCGCCCAGCTGGGCACATGCTTTCAAGACCTCCTGAGGGCTGTGTCACTGGCCATGGTCACTCATGTTTGGGTTAGAATAAATCTCTTCACATATTTTACAGAGTCTGACTCTTTTTGTCGACACTCAAGAACAGCCAAACTTGCCGGCGGAATGAAGTTGCCTCAGGTGAGTAAACGGGGCCATGCTATTTGCCAAGACACAGCTACAGGAAGAGGAGCCAGTGGGAGGTAGGAAGGCAGGGAAGGAGGCTTTGAGGGGGGCTCACTGTGCCTGAGGTGACTGTGGAATCAACATCCAGGTGCAGGCGGGACTCAGGCTTAGCATCCCCAGGAGAGAGAGTAGGGGCTGGGGGCAGAGAACCTAAGGCTCATCTCACTGACTTCCTATAACTGAATGAAATGGAAAGTCCCCATCTCTCCACACAAATACCAAAAGTTCAGTGGCTACTCCCTTTGCAAGCCCCACTTTTCTGCTCTGCAGATGAGAAATGAAACTACCTACGGGTCCCCTCCTGCAAGCAGTCAGACTGGTCGTGAACCAAGTCTCCACGTGCAGCTTTGTGACTTCACTTCAGCCTCTGATTGGCCACCTTCCACAACCAATCAGACTGGTTGCAGGCCCTGCTTCATGTACATAGGGTGTAAACCAGGGAGTGGGAACCCTCTAGAGGGTGTAAACCCAAGAAAATTCTGTAGGCAGTGCTCTCGATGGGTCCTCTTCTCTGGCCTGCTCCTGCGCTGTGGACTGTACTTCTGTTTTCATAAATCTGTGCCCTTCTTTGTTTGCTCTGTACGTTTTGTCCAATTCTTTGTTCAAAACACGAAGAACCTGGATGCCCTCCGCCCGTAACAGGGTGATCTGGTACAGCTGCTGGGAAGAGCCAGGGCTGCAGTTGCCCAGAGGGTAGGCAAGAGTTATCCCGTGTCTGCTCCCGAAGTCCAGGAATTAGCACATACCCACCCGCCACAAAGGCTGCCCCCAGTCTGGCTGCCCAGCATCCAGCCATGCAGGTGCACACCCTCTGCCGCCCTCCCTCCCCACGTGCAGGTGGGAGGCCAGGATGCCCAGCTGGGCACAGTTTTTCCTCTCCTAGCACCATTTTCACTCGTTAACATTGAGGACTAAGCTCTGATTTTTAAAATCTTGCCCAAGTTCCTATCTAAGGGGTGTGGGGAACCATAAATTCTCATCAGATGAGTTTTATTTAACCCTATATACGGTGACTTAGTTTCCACGATGACTCTGGCACATCATTACGAGACAAAAAAAAGAAAATCGGGGTCCTCTTTCTGTCCAGTGGTTTGTTCTCGGAGACTTGTGTCAGGACTGCTGATAGGAAGATGTCTTCAGGAAATGCTAAAATTGGGCACCCTGCCCCCAACTTCAAAGCCACAGCTGTTATGCCAGATGGTCAGTTTAAAGATGTCAGCCTGTCTGACTACAAAGGAAAATATGTTGTGTTCTTCTTTTACGCTCTTGACTTCACCTTTATGTGCCCCAGGGAGATCACTGCTTTCAGTGATAGGGCAGAATTTAAGAAACTCAACTGCCAAGTGATTGGTGCTTCTGTGGATTCGCACTTCTGTCACCTGGCATGGATCAACGCACCTAAGAAACAAGGAGGACTGGGACCCATGAACATTCCTTTGATATCAGACCCAAAGCGCACCATTGCTCAGGATTATGGGGTCTTAAAGGCTGATGAAGGCATCTCATTCAGGGGCCTCTTTATCATTGATGATAAGGGTATTCTTCGGCAGATCACTGTAAATGACCTCCCTGTTGGCCGCTCTGTGGATGAGACTTTGAGACTAGCTCAGGCCTTCCAGTTCACTGACAAACATGGGGAAGTGTGCCCAGCTGGCTGGAAACCTGGCAGTGATACCATCAAGCCTGATGTCCAAAAGAGCAAAGAATATTTCTCCAAACAGAAGTGAGCGGGCTGTTTATGCCAGGCTTGCAGTGGGCAGCCATGAGAACAAAACCTCTTTTGTATTTTTTCCCCCATGAGTAAATCACAAGACTTAAAAAAAAAAAAAAAAAAAGAAAACCAAAATATTTTACCCCAAAACAGGTTTCTCTGCCATATGTTGAAATGGCCCTGCAAAGCTGTCCTTTGTGGGGGAAAATCCACATCTGCAAAGAATCTCTAGTAACATAGCTAGACCTTTTTCTTCCAGGCCTCCCAATCCTGAAGAGATTGACTGAGAGCCTAGCATCTTTTAGACATCTGAACAGGAAACACTTGTCATCTGTTGTCTCTAAGGGCAGCCACTGTAAGACTCCAAAAGAAACTTGGTCTCCACAATCTTTTTTTTTTTTTTTTTTTTTGAGACGGGGTTTTGCTCATGTTTCCCAGGCTGGAGTGCAAAGGCGCGATCTCGGCTCACCACAACCTCCGCCTCTTGGGTTCAGGCAATTCTCCTGCCTCAGCCTCCTGAGTAGCTGGGACTACAGGCACGCGCCACCATGCCCAGCTAATTTTTTGTAGTTTTAGTAGAGACGGGGTTTCACCATGTTGACCAGGATGGTCTTGATCTCTTGACCTCGTGATCCACCTGCCTCGGCCTCCCAAAGTGCTGGGATTACAGGCTTGAGCCACCGCGCCCGGCCCACAATCTTTTATCTTAACCTGAACATGTCCTTTCTGTTGGTCTCAGGACTTTAGACAAACTCAACCGTCAACCAGAAAATGTTTAACTTCTCCTATGGCCTGGAAGCCCTGCAGTGAGTTGTCCTGCCTTTCTGAACCAAACCGATGTATTTCTTAAATGTTTTTAATCGACGTCTCATGCCTCTCTAAAATTATAAAACCAAGCTGCACCCCGACCACCTTGGGCACACATTCTCAGGACCTCCAGAGGCTGTGTCACGGGCCATGGTCACTCATATTTGTTTTTGTTTGTGTTTTTGAGACAGAGTTTTTGATCTTGCTGCCCAGGCTGGAGTGCAATCGTGTGATCTCGGCTCACCGAAACCTCTGCCTCCCAGGTTTTAAGCGATTCTCCTGCCTCAGCCTCCCGAGTAGCTGGGATTACAGGCATTCGCCACCATGCCCGGCTAATTTCGTATTTTTAGTAGAGACGGGGTTTCTCCACGTTGGTCAGGCCAGTGTCGACCTGCTGACCTCAGGTGATCTGCCCACCTCGGCCTCCCAAAGTGCTGGGATTACAGGCATGAGCCACAGCGCCTAGCCTTCAAATTTAGCTCAGAATATATCTCTTAAAATATTTTACAGTTTGACTCTTTTTATGGACAACATTAATGCCCCCAAAGCAAGAAAAAGGCCAGGCATGGTGGCTCACTCCTGTAACCCCATCACTGGAGGATCGTTTGAGGCCAGGACTTCAAGAACAGCCTGGGCAACATAGTGAGATCTCATCTCTACCAAAAATTTTTTTAAATGAGCTATTTGGGAGGCTGAGGCAGGAGGATCCACTTTGAGCCTGGGAGACCAAAGCTACAGTGAGCTATGATCTCGCCACTGCACTCCAGAATGGGCAACAGAGCAAGACCCTGTCTTTAAAAAAGTAAAAAAGCCTTCTTTCCCGCCTTGTGGAAAGTACCCTATCTTGCATAGAAGAGTTGCTCACTTAGTTATTCATGCTCCGGTGAGTGCCTTTTCCCCACAGCCCTGCCCTCTCTGTTCCCGTCCCTGACCAGAGTTGTGAATTCTCACCCAATCCTCTCACAGCTGGCAGGTGAGATCCCTCAGGAAACAGCCTCCTGTCATCTGTAACAGCTTGATCTCCCCCTAAGCCCCCTCTGCACTGAGCTGGTGGAAGGAAAATGACCTTGAATCTCCCTGAGAGGTCCTCCCTGGGGATGTGCCCAGGGCTGTCATCTTCCTTGGGGAGGGAGTGGGCTACCGGTCTACAGAGCTTGCTGGCAGACATCCATCGGTGGCCCTGTGGTCCCCTGGACTCTGCTGCCCTGTGCAGGTGGTCCAGCCTCCACCCCAGGCACCCTCAGCCAGCTGCTTCCAGCATCTGCCGTCCCTGGCTTCAGTCTGGGAAAGGCAACTGTGCACCATCCCCCTATCCTAGGGCAGGCTCTTTGCCCTGAGCCCCTCCTTGACTTTCCCTGAGACTCAGGTTTTTGGGAGAAGCATCTGGAAAACGTGCAGGCTGATGGGTCCTCCACTCTCTCTCCCTGCGTCACTCCTGGCAGAGCACAGAGCCCAGTCCTGCTGGAATAGGACAAAGGAGAGAAGTGCAGAGAGAGCGAGTGCAGCATTTCCAAGGCCACCCCACGGGCCTTATTTTTCCCATCTGTTAAATGGAGGTGATGCTAAAACCTACTTCCTTGAGTTTGCTAAGGATTAGAGAAAGCAATGCACGTGAGGTGCTAGTGGGGCAGGAGAGCAGGGTCTGGAGGCAGGGAAATGAAGGTCAATGTGCCGATGGAGGAAAAGCACCGGGGTCTGGGGGCAGGGAAATGAAGGTCAATGTGCCGATGGAGGAAAAGCACCGGGGTCTGGGGGCAGGGAATCAGGCCAATTTATGCTGACTTCTCACAGCTGGATCAAAGGGAAAATCCCCTCTCCCCATCCCATGACAAAGGATCAAAGGCCACTCTCTCTACAGCCCTGTCCCTTCCACCAAGAGGGAGAGGGCCTTGGAGTGGCCACAGGGCATCCCTTCATCTGCACAGGACAGTTCACCTCAGCAGTTTTTTGTTTGTTTGTTTGTTTGCTTTGAGACAGACTCTTGCTCTGTCACCCAGGCTGGAGTCCGATGGCGCAATCTCGGCTCACTCAGCTTCCACCTCCTGGGGTCAAGAGAATCTCCTACCTCTGCCTCCTAAGTAGCTGGGATTACAGGCATGCATTGCCATGCCCAGCTAATTTTTATATTTTTGGTAGAGATGAGGTTTCACCACGTTGACCAGGCTGGTTTCAAACTCCTGACATCAGGTGACACCTCTGCCTCTGCCTCCCAAAGTGCTGGGATGACAGGTATGAGCCACCATGCCTGGCCAAGAATATCCTACGTTTACGGTGTGCTACGATCCCTCCTGGGGGTAAAAACTACATGTTTGCTCTAAGTTCCCTCCAAGCTACCCCAGGAGTATGATTTTCTGTTCTTTCCTGGTGAAACTACCTTTGCAAAATGATGACAGAGACAGTGAAAGAGATCTAACTTAACCGACTCCATCTTGCTTCTAACCTCCCAGCTGTCCTTGTTCATTCCTGGGCGTAGGCTGGACTCACTTTGGGAGAAACTTAGTTTATAGTTTAAAACGAAGACAGCCCTTTCCCAAAGCAGACCTCCATCTTGCCTGGGGACTAGATTGACTTTGTAGGACTAACAGTAGCCACAAGATTAGAAATGATGGTTTAGAAGTCAAGCAGCAGGAGGCTACAAGATTCCAACCCTCCCTAAACTGCTCCTAAGATCAGTGCTTGAGATATTATGCAGAACCTGCACTTGATGGGTCCGCTCAGATCCATAAACTGGCTCATCTGATCTTGTGGCCCCCACCCAGGAACAGACTCAGCACAAAATGACAGCTTCAACTCCCTATGACTTCATCTCT